TCTCTCTCTCTCTTCCTATGTCATCGTTTGTTGTTGTCAGGGTAAGCAAGAGTAATGTAAAGGAAACCAGATGATGATATACGATAAGAAATATCTTTAATCGAGATGGTCGACAAACATAGAGAAACAGAAAAGAGCATGTATGTTAAGCAAGTTCTTTTTTTGATTCTTCTGTTTATTTGCCTTTCAAAGATCATTTATTGTTAGCCCTATTAGTAAACTACAATCTATTATTCAAATCAAGATTCGATGTTCTGTTCTTCGTCAACAAAATTAACTGATGTATACATTCAAAAGGTACTCGATAGAATGTAATTTGGCATCTTGTTGAAAATGTCAATATTACTTAAACCCGTTATTTTTCTTCCTCTTCTCTTTCTACTTCTCGTCACATTCTCATTTTATACATCTTTTTTTATTACTTTTTTTTAACCTTCAATCATATCGCTTTTTACCATTTAGAAAATGAGTCCGAACTGTTTCGATACAACGACAACAACAAGGACACATAACGATATGACATCATCATCGTCAGCCACTCAATCATCTACAACAATATCTTCATCACCATCATCAAGCTCATCACTTCCACTCGTACCATCATCATCTTTAAATAACCATCACACAGGTGGTCATATAACATGTGTTATCATTGGTGATTGTGGCGTTGGAAAATCTTCATTAGTTGTTAGTTATACAACCAACGATTTTCCAACACAGTATATACCAACTGCATTTGATAATTATTCTGTTGATGTGTCTGTTGGTACTCGACTTGTTCATTTCGACATTTGCGATACTGGAGGAAAGGTAAATAACACATATACATATGTATGGATGTGTAAAAGAACATTGCTGAGAAACCTTGAGTCCCTCCCTATAGACCTATGAATAACAGAATGATAATTATAATAAGAAAAAAAACGAATATATTGGCAATAGTATATGTATAATGATAGATTTTATTGACAACTAAAGTGTGCAAATCTGATTTGTTTCTTTTTCTTTCTTTTTTCATAGCTATCGAATAGATTGAATGTATGCATTCATACCTGTACTATTTTGTCCGACAGGCGTTGAGAGGAAGCCTTTATTTATATTCAACTTGAATAATAAGTGGTAAAAATCGAAAGAGAGACCCGATTGATCGACCTTGTTTTCTTTTTACTTCTACTTCTGCACACTTCTGATACTTATACGATATGCATCCATAAAAGAAAAGAAAGAAAGCAACTTAAAGAATTCGTTTAAAAATTACAAATTTGATATGATTTCATCTGTTATTAATCGATTTCTTTTCTCTTAGCTAATATTAATAGAAATTAGCTTCGTCATGAAAGATATGTTTGTGTTAAAAAACAAGACGCTTTGTGTCTAGTGCTTTCAACAGATTCATCCATCTGTATTATATTTATCTCATTCTTATCATGTATTACTTAATTGTATATGCAATGATACAAAACAAAATCACTTATGAAGTGTAATAAATCTTCTCTCACTTGATTAATTTAGTTTGCCTCGATTTTTCAATATACTCTTATTTTTACATATATAATTATTAATTTAATCATTAATAACATATAGCAAAAAAAAGAATGACAACAAACAAATAATAATAAGCATAATGAAAAGTCCGGAGAAAAAATGTCAACTGAATAAATTAGAATTATTATTTTTTAACAGGAACATTTTATTTTCATTTAGGAACAATTTTCACCCTTACATGGTCTTTGTATTCCATACAGTGATGTAATATTATTATGTTTCAGTGTTGTTAATCCACAATCATTTCAAAATGCAATAACCTATTGGTTATCACGTGCACGTCGTTCCAATTCAAAAATTCCAATTATACTTGTTGGTACACAAATGGATCTTCGATCAGATTTACAGACATTATTAACACTCGATCAACAAAAATTAAAACCGGTGACTGAAAAAGAAGCACGTGCACGTGCACAACAAATGCATGCTTGTAATTATATTGAATGTTCATCATTAACTGAAAAAAATCTAAAAACTGTTTTCGATACAGCTGTATTAACAGCAATTGAATTTCGTGATGCTAATATGGCAGTACCAGCATCATCAACATCAATTGTACCATTAATTGAACAACAAAAACAAGAACAAACAGTAAATAAACAACATCGATCACGTCATCATCATTCACATTCAACTAAAACGTGGAGAAAATTAGTATCGGGCTGTATAGGTGTATGAGAATATATATAAAAAAAATTGTTTTTCTTTTTTTTTGCTCTGTTGCTTGGGTTACTTATTAATTTTCTTTCTTTTTTCTTTCGTATATTTCTACGTGTGTTTGTGTGTGTGTGTGTGTGCGCGCTTTTCTTACTTCTTCGATTGTTCGAATGGCAAACTATTCGATGGATGATTTAGAAGTCTTATCAGAGACTGATTTATTTTTCACTATGTCGAAATCATTTTTATCAGAAAATGATTCTTCATCTATTAATGAAAGAGATCATTCATGGAAATCTTATACGAAAACATATTTTAATAATAGTAAACAATTAAATAGTTCAAAATCCAATATATCTATAAATAAGAGTTTATCAGAAAATTATTGTAAAAATTTACCAGATGCAATGCCAATAAGTATGAATCAAATTTTACAAGCACAAAATACAAATGCACCTTGGTTATTTAATATATTGAAAAAAAAATTTCATCGTTCTCGAAAATATAAAAAAGATCGAATAGTATCATATGAAACAGATTCAAATAAGACAATAACAAATACTTCGAATTTATTAGCAGAAGAATTATTAGAACAACCTATCAGTTGTAATGGAACAAGTGGAATATGGATTGTTAGTGAAAAAGATATTACATTTCCATTAATTAAGGTGTGCTAATAAGATTATTCAGTTTAATTTCGGATAGGAATACTTATCATTTATGGTTTCAGGATTTTGAAATATCTACTACTGGTCAATATAATATATCTCGTGCTATGTCATCATCAACTTCAGCTCTTCCACTTTCTACAGATGATTCTCTTCATATTCGTCATTATCAATATGACTTTCAAACATTAGATACACCAATTACTTCATCACCTTCATTTTTAATTAATTATCAATCACATACATCATCAAATATTATTGAAGAAATTGAACAAAAAATCTCAAATAATGATGATGATACTTCTACAGATTTTACATCAATTGCATCGATGATCAAAACGTATTATACAACTAGTCGACAACAGATAGAATCACATAATATTCCAGCAATAGAAATGCTTGCTTCTTCTCCTCCATTATCATCAACATTTGAACCAATTATCGAAGATCATCATTTGGCTTCTGGCAATTCAATAATACAAACAACATCAAAACGAGCTAAATCGACATCAGCCGCACGAAGTCGTCGTACTCGTAGTTCAACTTCAACAACGAGAGGAAAAAAACGTTCAGAATCAACAAAGAAAAAGAAAAGCAAATATTATCAAGAGCATTTATTAACTTCTGAAGAAATTGAATTACGAGAAGCATTACGTATTATTGATTTGGATAATATTGGATTTTTTCCGCCAAGTGAATTTCGAAAAGTTTTAAAAGAAATTGGTATTAATTCTAATGATATTCAAAAAATTGAACGATGTTTACCACTTGATGAAGATGGACATTATTCCATAGATAATCTTATTAAACTATTTTTAGGTACAAAATAAACATGATATTATGTTAACTATTTGTTTTTCTTTTTATTTAAAAAAAAACTAAAAAAAAAACAAAGGAGTCTAGAGGAGAAAATAGTTCCGGCAAAAAAATACTAATTTTAAATATTAAAGCCAGCAGCACGCATACAAGCTTTATGAGCTTCGATTTCTTTCGAACAATGTTCTTCACCATTGATTATTACACATTCATCACGTATTCGTTTTGTTTCTGGGCATGCACAACATGCTTTACATTTTGGTTTTGTTTCTCCATTGGCAGCTGTTGATTGTGTTGGAAGATGTTTATCAGTAGTCACTGGTAATGGTTGATTTTTAGCTTGAAGTGAACCCATATTCTAATCAGATCGAGTAAATGCAGATGTTTCTAATAACTATCTAGAACATATAAATATACTTTATTCAATTATTCTGACTCTCATATTCAATTCTATTGTTAGCATTTCTAATACTTTAAGTTTACCCATTATTAAGATAATAAGACAAAAAAAAGCATTTCATTCTTTCTTGACCAATTTACTTTTCTGATCATCAGCAATGCAATCTTTTTCACAAACATACATATTGTGTAACTAAACCATATAAAGCGACAATAGATTTAAAAGAAATGAAGACGTAAATAACGATGTATACGAGAACAACAAACATTAATATGATAAAAAAAAGAAAGTGGAACGAAAACAAAAAAAAATAATCATTTTTCTGATTTTATGTAGTTTTCTCAAACTTTTCAATTATGCATACATGTATATGTATATATATATATATGTGAAACGCAAAACGAAAGAACTGTACATTAAAAGAAAAAGAAATGAAAGTCGTTTGTTTATTTGTTTGTACTCCTTGATAACGTACGTTCGGCTCTTTGGTAACAACAAAACAAAAATATGTAAGAATATGAGATAGAATAAAGAGAAAGGTAGAGACTGTTATACGATCTCACTGTGATTAAATGGAAAAGAGAGAGAAAAAATAAATACATATTTTTTTAATTGTCAAAATATGTTGCTTCAGAATTATGTGAAGACATTTGTTGTATATGACGGAGAATATCTTTTTTAGTTATAATTCCTCGTAAACGACTAAATAAATAAAAATAAAAATATAGATATATAAATAAAATAATTTCAATTAATATTTACCCATTACGTGTTACAAAAGCTTGTCGTAGACCTAATTTACGAAATAAATCAATTACTGTTTCCATGGGAGTTTGATCAGTAACAATAATTGGTGCCTAAATATGAAATTGATTATTATTATCAAAAAGAAAGAGAGAAAGAATAAGAACAAACCTGATCAAGTAAATTACCAACACGAATAACTTCCGAATTTGCAGTTAATTGTTGCTCAGGTTGATTATCAGATTCATAGTCGGGATTTAGTGTTGCTTCTGATGTTGTTGTAAATTGAATTACAGTAGACGAAAGACGATAACGATGCATTTTTTGTGATTCTAAAAATAATATTAAATATTTAATGGTTCTAGGATAATCATTTATTTGATTAAATACATACTAAGAACAATTTGTAGATCACGCCTAAGTACTTGACCAACAACATATGGTTGTTCACGTGTAACAACAACGGGATATAATGTATGCGTTGTTTCTTTTAATAGATTTTCTACATCCGCAAATGTCATAGTACTTTGTGTTAAAAAAGCTAATGCTGAACGTTGTTCCGGTCTATTAAAATGAAAAAGATTATAAAGATATTTTTCTCTAAAAAAAACATGAAAATCTACCGAGGACGCATAACTTCTTCAGCAGTTGTTGTAAGATTAAATTCTTCTTTATTATCCAGAAAAGGATACCCATTTAATTCAATATGTGCATCATAAATTCCACCACGTACAAAACCATCACCAATCCATTTTGCTGTCATAGCAGCTGCCATTAACGGTACAATATAAGTTAAACCACCTGTTAATTCAAACATAATAACAACAAGTGATATTGTCATTTTACTAACACCACCTAAAAATGCACATGCACCCACAATTGCATATAAGGCTGGTGTCACACAATTTTCCTCTAAATAATTTTCAAAAAATGCAAATGAATTCAAAATGAAATATATTCTCATTTACCTTTACTACAATCATGTCGAAAAAGAATAAATGAGGGATTTTGTATAGCTAATTGTTCTGTAATAATACCAATAATACGTCCAGTTATAGCTCCAATTGACATTGATGGAATGATTAAACCTGATGGAACTTTAACACCTATTGTAAATGTTACAAGTGCAACTTGAACAATAAGCGCAAAAAATAATTGCCATATAGCACGATGTACACCTGGACCAGCTAAACCTACTGATCCTTTTGATTTACCAGTAACAAATTGAGAATTAGGATAATCACTAAATAAAATTTGTTTTGATATAAAAAGATAAAAATCTATTAATTTCAATTTTTACCATAGATCAATCATATCTTCAACACGACATTGACTAACTAAACGTTTGATTAATTCTGACATTGACATACGTGTATAAGGATTTAGATAAATAATAGAAGCAGTAATTAATGCTAGACCAACAACCTAAATATAAAAATGAAATATTGTATTTTGTCATTTTTTTTCTTTCTTTATCTTCAATGACAATCATATGTATCAATATAATCATCTATGAAAAAACAGATCAGATAAAAACAAACATAACTAAATAGTTTTTTTCCTATTATATTGACAAATAGGAAAATAATTGGTTTCCGATCATATATCATCTATTTCTTTAACAAATTCCATAGGACTTACTTCAAGTATTGTATATTGTCCAAGTCGTGAATTTTTTCGAAAACGACACCACCATATATTTGTTTTTATAAAAAATGCTCCCCATAAACCCTAAATAAACATATAAATCAAATTATGTCTCTCTCTCTATATATATATTATTGTTACCCCGAGAATGCCTAATAAAATAAATGGTATCATTTCAAAAGATGCCCATGGTACAGAATAATCAATACTAAATTGTATATCATGTCCATTTCCATATGGATTTATCGAACGAACAACAAGTGCACCAACCATAGCACAGAAAAATGATCGCCATAGCGTTTTATATGGAAAATAATACGAGATTTCTTCTAAACTAAATAAAACACCACCTAAATTTTAAAAAAAATTAAATCAATTATTTTCAGTTCAAAATCGAAAAACTATTTTTTTTCTACCAATTGGTGCACCAAATGCAACTGAAACACCAGCCGCGGCAGCTGCAGATAGAATTTCTCGTTTTTTTGCTTCATTTCGTCCATATTTTGGAAAAAGATATGAAAATATATTGCCACAACAACAAGCAATATGAACAAATGGACCTTCTTTACCCAATATAAGGCCAGCACTAGTCGCACACATCTATAATAACAACAATTAATAAAATAACATTCTCATATACAAATTCCATACTAACCATGCCAATACTTTTTATCAGTAAAGTCCATTTACCCAAATATCCTCGTATAATAAAACCACCTAAAATCGTCTTAATCTAATTCAAAGAAGAAGAAAAAACTACAAAAATCAAATCAAAATTTTCTATTTTTTACTTCTGGAATACCGCTACCACACGCATATGGTGCAAATACTTTAACTAAAAGAACGGCAAACGACGCAAATATCGTCGACCAAAATATATACATTATGTAAGATAATAAAAATTGACCAGCTCCTGTTTTGTATGTACCAAATACTTGTGGCCAGGTAAACCACTAAAAATAAAATAAACAATCGTCAGAACAGAAAAAAGATTTTTATTAATTATTTTTACCTCAGTACATTCTTCTGTATTTACATTTGTATACTGAAGATTTCTCGAGGCCCAACCTAATATTTAAAAAAAAACAATATTTAATCAGAATAGTTAAATAGTAAAAAATGAGTCATAATAAATGAATATATGACTCATTTTTACTTATTACGACTAATCATTTCAGGTGAGATAATATTATTACGTTTCAGTTTTTAAATAAACACTTTAATCTCAAGCCTCAAAACAATCTATCTGCGATAAAAAAAAATATTGTATTATATGTCAAACAGTTAATGTATTACGATAGGATTTAAAAGAAATAAATCATAAATATACGATTCTTACTAAAAGTAAAGTTTAGAAAGTTATGATGACCTTTAATATTATTTATCTTCACTATTCTTTATCAAAATACGTACAACATTGTTCTCTATTCAGCCAAAATGCATTAAGACATATTCCATGTTTTAAATGTGATATCCAGTTAGTTCCAATATCAATAACACCAGCAATAACACCGGCACTTAAACCAACAAGTAATACACATAACCAACCAGACCATGCATCATGATACATTAAAATTTTATTTAAAAATGATTGACGTGTTTTAGCACGTAGTAAACGATGACGGAAACGATCACGCATTAAATCTTTAAGCCAATCAATTGTTTGAAAATCATCATAACGTGTATTAACTAAATCAACATTCATTACACCACCTATTTATTAAATCATTATATATATAAATTTGTTTTTAATTTTTTATGTAACTTACTATTTAATTTTTCATTAGTTGTATTTCGAAAATCAATGTCAATCATGTCATCATCTCCAATATGAGGATGATTGGGATTTGTTGTTGATGACATTGTTGTTGTTGGTTCAGCAAATGGATTAATGGGAAGAAATGATTGTTCATCTGTAATGAACATGATAAGATTCAAAATAAAAATTGATCTAAAAATATTGAGCAATGCGGCGATACTCTTTAGCTAATGTGAATTTACATGCGGAATTATTTTATTATTTTGTTATTCAGCGAATGAAAATAAAGGATCAACTTTATTTTACTTATGGGTATTTTTTTTTTATATTGTTACCTGATTCATCAGAACCTAATAAAAGAAAAAGAATAGGAAGTTGAAGACTTTCTGTTGCTTTTTTGACTCATCAAAAAAACACAACTATATTCGAAGAAAAAAAATATTAAAAATACTTACTAGACGTTGTCCGAACTGTATTATATTCTTTGTTCATATCGAAGTCAACCAACAGATGTTTCTTTTCGTTCATAACATCTAATAATAAATAATTAGTTTAACATGTGTTTTATTTTTATGGATTCTTACTTTGAAGAGCATTTTGTGTCTAATCGTCCTTATAGACGATAGGAGGAGAAAATATCTGATACGGTATATATGTTATGAGAGATAGGATTGAAGAAAATATGTCAATAGAAACGATATATTGTTCGTTTAATTTCTTGTACTATGAACACTTTTTGTGTTAGATCTCGTGAGCAGTAAGGAAAAAACTCAAAAAATCTCGAATAAATGAAAGAACAATAGAGAACGAACGAAAAAGTGCATTACTCATGCCTGGTTTTTATATGATTGGTTGATATTACTGATTATTTAATATAAGAATAGAAAATATGAATTCATCGATAAAATTTTTAGTAATGAATTAGAGAGTTTATTTAAAATATAGTTTAGAAAAAGATTTACACTTTTCATTTTTCCTTCTCGAATAGTCTATAGTGACATCTATTGACTAATAAGTTCAGTATTCATTTTGATTATGTATAAAATCTTTAGTACTTACCAAATTTTAATCGTTACAGTTGGTTATCACCGGTGATTGAGAAATAATCGGAAATAAAAAAAGAAATAAGAATAATTAATAAGACAACTTTTTCTAAATCAAACTGCACAAGTTGTGTGTAATAAAAAGAAATATTATCATGAGCTCATCTATGTGGCTTATGCAAAAAAAAGAACTGAATTCATCAAAAAACATACTGATTTTCCAGTCCTTTGTGTTTTCTTTTGGTTGATGAAAAGAGAAAATGATAGAGTACGTCGTATAAAATGCTAATGGACAAAGACGATGCGAAGTGTTCCGTTTTTTCTCTATGTGGTTTGTCTGGATAATTTCCATGTGATTATATTATATTTAATTCATAAGCGAAGAATATGATGATGTCAAAATGAGAATCAGCATTGACAATTAAGCAAACAAATCATCGTCTCAAGTTTTCTTTCTCTCTATTTTTTTGTCTTACTCAATGATGAAGCTGTCATATTAAAGATGAATATTATTCAGTAAAACTACGAATGAATCAAGTCAATTTTCTTTGTCATAACATTTTCAAATAACGAGACTCGAATAGATTGCATGTTTGATTGTAAATTAAAACGATATCGTCGTCTTTTCTTTTCTTTAATAGTCCGGTTCTCTGTCACGCACGGTCATATTTATCTTATGAAATCGAACGGAAACGCATTCATTTTCTAATAGTGCATTTGATAGACAGATAACATGTTAAAAAGCTATTTGCTCATTCTTTTGCATATTTACAGGAAGAACAAAAGAAAAAAAAGAAGGTGCCTTTCTCTATTCTTTATTAGAAAATATTATCATTTCTGTGTATGATGTTGATTATGTATTCGATAATGTTTTTTTATTTTTCTTGATACCATAGTCTATTTTATCAGCCAATGGAACATTTCGAGTTTCAGGTAATAAGAATGTTAATACAATACAAAGAAAAGTTAATACTGCATATAAATAATACATTTGAGTAACTAAGGAATGATTGTGACGGATCTTGGCATCAATTATCGGTCCAACAGTTGAACCAATACGACTCAATAAAATAAAAAAACCCATACCAGTACCACGAATTGATGTAGGGAATAATTCTGGTACAAATATATATGTAACACAAGTTGCTGCACTTATTGAAAATTTTCCTAATTGAGCAATAAATATAATAATCAAATGATTTTGATTATGTGTATATGGTGTTACTAATAAGCAAATAACAGTAAGCATGAGAAAAAGTATAAATATAGGTTTCCGACCATATCGTATCATAAAAAGACTTGGTACAATATACCCCACAGCTTCGACAATAGCACCAATAATTATATTTAAATATGGATCAATTTCATCCATTGCTCCAAGATTAAATGATATTTTAATATAGAGAAGTAATGTTATAAATCCAATATAACCTGATATTATTAGTTTACTCATTGTTGGTATATGTGTTACAACTCGATGTATTTTAGCTATAAATGATAACTTGATTTTATTTTTTTGATTCATAAGTTTATCGTCTCGATGATTTTTAATAACACATCGATAAAATGGTAACCATTTTGATTCAGATTGTCGATTACATCGTGCTATTTGACGAAGAAGTTTTTCTAATTCATCATATCGATGTTTTGTTAATAGCCAATGTGGAGATTCCGGTACAAAAAAAAGATAAGGTACAAGCGCAATAATATATAATGTTATAATCCATTTAAGAACAAGCCAATGTCGACATAAATATGCCATGCCAGTTACTACTATTTCACCTAATGCAAAAGAAATAAGTGCTAAATTACCAGCAAATGTAGCATATTTTGATGTAGTAATTTCCAGAAGTAAAAGAAATGATACCACATATGTATCAATACCACTGACAAATTGATTGATGAGAAGTAAAATAAATCTAAAGGAAATCGAATAAAATAAATTTTAAAAACTGATTAGATTTATGTAATTTATATGATGAATCGATTGTTCATAGGTAAACCAGCGATATTTTAACACATGTTAAACACACTACAACTTAAAGAGGAGATAGTTTTATGTTCATTTGGGCGACCTCTAATAAAATATTTCATTCTTAACGTAATATTATGTAGCTTTGATTATCTAACTTCTTGTATATACGAAAGCAGAGCTTGAGAATACAGAGGACAGTGACATTTCCAAGACTTGTCATTATTACGCTACACTCTACGGATCAGTCTTTCTGAAAATAGATCATCCAACATGAAGAATTACAGTCACAAATACTGATTTTTCCTTCTCATACTCATCGTTGTATTAAATTCTCTTTGAATTTAAATATTGTATTTCTTACTTTTGATTTATTGACATTGGTACAAATTGTAAAAGTGTTTGAGTAATTAAAGAAGTAATTAATAATAAAGCAACTAACAATTGAATTGAACGACGACGTCCAATTATGTCTGTTATTTGACCACAAAAAAAAATTAACATAGCACCTATTTGTAAACTTGTTGATAAAAATGAACGACGAATACTATGTTGACAAACAAGATTTGCTTCACTAGTAAATGTTTCACCAAAAATCGTTCGATCATATTCCCAATTACTACATGGATATGTATCAATTGTTTGATTCCGATAATCTTTTATTTCATAAGAACATTGAGATGATAAGATTTCAATATTCGAATATTGATTAATTTCATTTGATATTTGACATTCATATGAATTTTCAGCTCCTCCAAATACATAATAAAAATTAACAATTCCTGCAGCTATTGGAAAAAAACTAAGAAAGAAAAAATGTATGAATTGATATCGATGAAAAGATCCACATTTTTCAATAACATCTTCAAGTGTTATATTTTGTACAGTATTATCCTCATCCGAAGATAATACTTCAATTTCCTATTGAAATAAAATCGAAAACTTTAATCATTCAAACTGTAAGGATGTTCCTACTTCAATCGTCATTGTTATCGACAATAATTGTTTTAATCAAATGTTTATTTTCATCTATTTTTTTTTATTATTTTATCAATGAAATACACAAGAGATCGAATAACAAATAATTCTTATCATTAGAAATTGATTCGTGCTTTTTGGATTAATATTTTATTTTTCGAATGAAGAGAATAAAAAATATATTTATCAATGATCACTAAATGATGTTACTTGTGGATGTGTGTGTGTGTGTATACAAATAAAAACAAAATACATTAGTTAATTAATTGATCTCAACAAAAAAAAATGAAAAAGATATCGATTTTATCAGTCAGTCATTTGGCAAAGCAATGCACTACCCATGGATATCCAGTAATCTTGTGGTTTATCAGTTGGTAAATTCACCGTGACAACAAAATTTGTTGAATGACCTTGTTGAAAAAAACAAACAGATCAAAATTTTATTTTTTTTTTAAAAAAAATATTTTACCTGTTGTTGATAAAACACCAGCTCTTAAAGCAGTTTTATATAATGGTGAAATATAATGTGTTGGATCAACAACATAATTTTGTCTTGGTTCCATATGTAACATTGGTAATGTTGCTATCATTTCACCGCGAACAGCATCAGTTATTTGTTTTCGTTCCGAATCCCAACGGAATGCTTCCATATATAAACCATGAAGAATAACACCATCTTTTACTTGTGGTAACTAAACAAAAAAAAAATGTTTTTGTTTGATTTATTATAAATGAAATTAGTGTTACTTGTTCATCGATTTCAAGTTTTTTTCCATATTCTAAACGTTTAGCTTGTTCATTATACGAGACTTGTTCACGTTCATATGGTAAGACAGTGAAATGGAAACTTAATTCATCGATAGGTAAATCATATTTACGAGCATGAACTTGTAGAACACCTGTTAGAAAACCTTGAGGAAAGAAAAGACCTGGTAACCAATATGATTTTGGTAAACCATGCATGATCCAAAGCTAAAATTTCGAAAAAAAAAATTAGAATTCAAATTATTTATTAAATAATAATTCTTACCGCGGTAAAATCACAACGTAGTAATAAATCTTTGATCCATGATGCTAATGATTTTAATGATGGATAAGCAGCATCAGACCAAATTGTAGGTACTTGATTATTTAAAAATGCAGTGTACACTAAATAGTTTATAGATATAGTAAAAGAAAAAGAAATTTATTTAGTTTTTTTACTTTTTTCTAATGTTTCATCCATAACAACTAAACCTTTAATAGCTTTCAGTTGATTGTTAAGTGATAATTTAATGATATTTAAAAGACGATTATAACGATCAACTTCTTGTTGAAGAACAGTTGTTAATGAATTTAAACGTTCTTTTGAATCTGGTTCAAATAATGAACGTGGTGCTTTTTCAATATCTAATTTTTCAGGTAATTTAGCTAAGATTGCTTCAGCTAATTCAAAAACAATTTCATCATTTGATTTACCAGCACCACCAGATGATACACGTGGTTGAATATCAATAATTGTATTAACAAGATAATTTGATTCTTGTGTCTAAAAAATAAATCATTTTTTCTTTTTTATTAAAAAAATAAACTCTATTACTTGAAATGTAATATTTGCATTTGAATTCATTCCAAATATTTCTGGATTATCAGTTATTGGTAATGCTTCAATATAATCTCGATATTGTTGAAGAAATTGTTGTTCTGGACAATGATAAATACCAGATGGAGAATATGTATAACCAGGTTTAAGTGTATCCGGTGAAAAAAATCGTCGTAAAATTGTACGTAAACATCGTTGATCCCAGAAATCAGTTATACGACCACCATAAGTAATTTCGCCTGAAAAAAAATTCAACAAATAAATCAAAAAAAAACATTTTCTATTTAAATCAATCTTACCAGTAATATAAATTAATGCATCCCATGGAATTGCTCCTTCTTTACAGAACATATCAAAATTCAAAAGAGCACAATCTCGATCACTCTAGAATATGAATAATATTTTATTTTATATACAAATATTTTTTAAGACTTCTTACATCATTAAATTCATAACGAATATTAAAACCTAATGGTCCAAATTTCTTTCTTTCAAGTAAACTTGCATGAAAGAAACAAATACCAAATACAATCTTTTTCCAATCCATTTCCAAACCTTTATAAATGAAATTTTTTTCTTGCAAAAAAAGTAAAAACAAAACTTACGATGTGTTTCAAAGAATGATGGTGTTAAATCAATAAAGGCACGTTTCATATTAGCACGAATACCTTTTGGTGGTTCACTTGTTACTTTAACACTATTTTGTAGAACACTAACTGGAAATGTTCTAGCTGGCATTGAACTGAGAAATATACGGAAATTATTATGACATTGTGTTACACCTTCATTAATATTTTTTATTATATTTTCCATATTTATCATCCAACTAGCAGCTAAATGACAATTTTGTAAGAATACCCATTCACCACCAGTAACAGATTTTGTAATCATATCTTCAGCAACAGGTCCCTGACCTTGACCAAGAGAAATTGCTTTATAACTAAATAAATAAGATCATATAGGAAATATTTCTATCTGAAATTTATTATTAAAATATACCTATTTGACATATTCATTTCTGCAGCAAATCTCGAAAAACTTGACATTGGATCTGAACCAGTACTTAAAATAAATACTAATGGTGTACGATTCGACATATCTTGATAAAGTACAGGTAATTCAACCGATGGACTTTCAACAAATTTCTTTCCTAATTGTTGTGCTACAAAATGTGTTATGGATTGTACAAGTGAATAAGGTGCAAATGCTTTAACAAATAATAATTTTTGAAAATCTGTTAATTTTGTATTATAATCACTAGGAACTTTAGTTGTCATATCATTACTATTCATAACAATACGTAAATCAGCATTAACATCAACATAGATTGGTTGTTGATTTTCTTCCATATTCTTTGGTAAATGTTTAAATGGTTCTGATATTTCCGCTAAGGATAATGCTTGATTCCAATGTTCAATTGTTAACCAATCATGACTTGGTTTTGGTGGTCGTTTCTAGAAATGATAAGTTTTGTATAAAAGAAGAAAAGAAAAAAGAGTAATCATACTTGTTCAGTTATTAAACCACCGCGAAGTAAAAAGTTCCATTCAACTTCATTTATAATTCCGTCTAATTTTAATATTTCAGCACAAAGTAGAAAACTGAATACAAGTTTATCTTTTTCAAATAAACCACTAGAAAATTCAAATGAAAAATTTCATTTATATATACTTGGGAATTTAGTTTTTAATAATTACCGAGATACATTTGTATAAATATTTTGAGTTGTTGAATCAAGTATAGTTTGTAAACGTATATTAAGATCTTCACTTTTAGCACTATTTTCAATAGTTGTATTAAATAGTTGTGTAAAATAACGAAGAGAAAATTGATACATTGGATCAATTAAACTTAAATCAGCAACAACAAAGTATAACAATGAACCACGTGTAGCTGCTCGACGATATTTTTCACGTGCAGCAGATATATTTGCTTCAGTTTTTAATGTTTCTTCAAGACGTCGTTTAATAGCTGATGATGTTACCTAAAAAAGTTTTTTATTTATTTAAATATTTATTTGAATTATTAATATATATATACTTTAGAATCATTCAATGAATTAACTAATTCTTCATTATCAAGAATATTTCCTTCACTTTCAAATAACATTTTAAGAATTTTATCTTCAATCGCTTTCAATTGATTTCGATCATTATTCATTGTAATAATAAGACGATTCATTTCTTCATCAAGATCAGGTCGTTCAAGTCGAACAACATCACTAAAAAATAATAAATAAAATCTAAAGATTCTTACAGATTAATTAATAATCTTACCTTAAAATTTGATCTTCTAAACCTTGTTTTGTAACACTAAAATTAATAATTGTTACTTTAATACATATTTCTGGTAAATAATGTGGATTGCTTAATTTTGTAGTCATATAAAATTTAAAATTGCTATCATATTCAATATCTGAATCACCTAAGCGAATTAATAATCGACCGCCCTAGGAACGAAAAAAACAATTTTTTATTAAGAAAAAACAAAAACCCATTAAATTAAAATACATACCGACATAAATGTTTGTTTGAGTAAAATAGGTTCTAATGCTGGATCAAGTGTTTCACCAACATCTTCTAATAATAATGGCATACCAATACGAACACAATTTTCTAATATACGTAAAAAGTGTCCATCAGTCATTTTAATAATTTTCAATTGATTTTCTTTTTCTTTATTTTTAATCCAACGATTTGCTTGTTCTTGTGGATCAATAATTCTAAAAAAAAAATAAAACTTCATCTAATGTATTTATATAAGAAATTTTGCTCTTACAAAGGCCATCGACGACCTTTCGTAACAAGTATAGCGTTTTCTGTACTGAAATCATCACGTGGTAAGCCTTGTGTAACCCATTGTCGAATTGAAAAAGCATCACAAAGTACATTTATAATTGATGGATTATCTAAGATAGGTATTTTATGTTCTTTACATCCCGTAACCCATTGTTCAACAAGCTAAAAATTAAATTTAATATAAAAAATAATAATTCAAAAATTTACTTCTGCTCGATATGACGCTGGAAAAGCTCCATAATAAGCAACACATGCAGATGAAACAAATACATTTCCTGTAACAGTTTTCATTTGTTCCATAAATTCCATAATATTTTCTTTCCAACGAATTTGTTCATCAGCTAATGCAGTTGTTAATTTTGATGCACGTTTTAAACGTGATTGTGTTTGCATGATTGATATTTCTAATTTTTTCTTTTCAGCAACTTGATGATCATATGATTCTTGAAGTTCTTTGATTTTAGATTCAACACCTTGTAATTGTGCTTGTTTCTTTTTTAATTGATCAGTAACAGCACGTAAATCAGTTTCAGCTGCAGCCACACGTTTACGTTTTGGTTCAACTTCTTTAGCAATTTTTGCATACATATCCATAGCTATAACCCATTCAGCAAGACTTGCACATGCAA